TGCTTCGATGAACATTTAATTGTCTGGAAAAAAGATTTAAAGTAGCCATTACCACTCGCCTGATTGGGGACTAAGCTTAGTTTTAACATAGGCTACGAACATTGATTTTTTTTTCCTAGTTAAGTATAATCTCATACTATGTAGATAAGCTAGTAACATTGAAAAGTTGATGTATAATTTTGTTCTTTTTCTTTTTTGTATGTGTAAGAATTTGAGACACAATGTTTTAAACATTAGTCAATAAAACAGAAATGCTTAAAGTTGCTTTCATTAAAAACAAAAAAAAATTGTCAGTATTTCTGTTTCATCAAATATGCTCAGGAAACGCATTTTATCAACGTTTCTTATAGATATCTTGTAGACTTTTTATGTCGATCTTTAAGACATTTATGAAAGTAAAATTCGCTAAAGATGTCTTCAAGATGGGCATAAGAAATCTGCATAACATCTAATGAAATCTTTAAAAAATGCGTTTGCTGGGTGTAACTTAAAAATTCCTCATCCTTTACAGTTAAAAACATTGGCATAACACAACTCAATGAAATAATGTCGTAATTTTTTTACGTGCTGCAACTGAATTTCAAAGAAATTCGTTTAAACCCTCATGAACATTTTATTCCTGTCACTACGTTCCTTGGCCAATTACAAACAAATTTTCTATTTAAAGTGAAAAATTTTAAGGATTTATTGAGCTGAAATGATATTCAAGATACTTTGAAAAATTAATAATAAGGACGACTAGTAATGCTGATAGGATATTCATGGAATGAGAAAGCATCATCTTTTGCATGAAGAGTCGACTATTGCTTAGCGTAGTACAGAAGACATTGCGTCGGAACTTCGCCTCTTTTGTAACTCGTTTTCTCTCGACAAGAAAAACATTTTTGCGAAACGAGAGAAGAGAAACATTTTTGCGTCGTCCACTTGGCGCACGTTGGCGTCATCCGTACCCAATACTCAGAGTCGCTTAATTAACGTCGAAAGAGGAAAGTGTAGCCAATCGCCGATAAATAATGCCCATATGTGCCCGATTTAGAGAAAAATACAAATCCGACGAAGGCGATGAAAATGCGTTTGCGCTCCGGCGGCCTTGCGATCATTAAAAAAAGGTACGTTTATATCACAGAAATTAGTGCGTGCGTCCTTTACATGGTTCTACATTGCTGTTGCTAAAACACATCCTTGAGCGAATCATCCAGCAGGATATCCTGGACTCATTGGCGAGAACAACTTTTATTGTTTTTTTTTTAAGATCACTCGTTCATTGAGCATAAATTCGGAGTTATTTAGTTAATAATCTTGTTTCGCGTGACTTGATGATTTTAAATAATTTGACGTTTTTGGTAGTCCCAATTTCCGCTCAAAAACTGAAAAGACAAACTTAGTACACTGAACTTTTAATGGGACATGCGCGTCTCGTATAAGTAAACTCATGCTATGTGTATCTTCAGTTTGCAAGATTGTTTGCAAATTGTGATGAAGAGACGATGACTGGAGTAAGATTAAGAAGACAGCACCTGCACTGTGCACGGTGATACTTTTTATCACTACCGAACTCGAAAATACCAAGTCCGAACTCACTTGGTTTCTTTGAGGGGGTTTGTAGTCTGTACCATGTGTGGGATGTCTGGGACTGTGTTGGGCAATGCTCCGTCAGGTGAGTCAAGTGACAATTTATCACAAGTACAAATGGGAAACAACACTTTGTCTCCCTCGTACTCTTTGTAAGCTTCGTGACAGCAATTATGTAATTAAACTTTGGCCAGATGGGGATCTTCCTCAAGGCATAATAAACTTCTAAACACTCTAAATGGCAGCGTGACCTAATTGACAGAGTATGCCGAATACAGTCAACCCTCTGCTTGTATAAGGATTCGTTTACATTTTCACAAAGGACTAAGCTTGTGAATTTGAGCACCAATCGCAGTTTTTGTACTTCCTATCATTTATGTCCAACCAGAGATATAAGGAAAACAAACAACAGCAATTAATTTTCTGAAACAGCCCATTGCGACCGTTAACATTTTTTTATTATATTTCATAAGTCTTGTATGCACAGCCCTATTCGTTGATTAGAATCGGTTTCCGAGCGTGCGACCGTTTTTTTGTCTTTTCTTTTTTCTTAGTACCTTACTTATGTTTCCATCATTAAAAAATAAATCCATTCCGTGCGATGTCAAGTTTGTATCCTTGTTTTCATAAACGCCTACTATTAAAATGTACGCGCTTTTCCATTTTTTTCCAGCCTGTCCAGCGTTTTAAATTTATGTTCATTTCAATTAAAAAAATTTTTAACACACGATTTTCTCATGAAATGTTTTTACATTAGATGGCAACCTGGCTGAACAGGGCCAACGGACAATCTTACCTTGAGATGAACTCAAAGATCTTTGCTGATAAAAGTGTAACTCTTTCCAAGAAGAGACTCTCAAGTTGTCTTGTGAGCCAAGTTCTTCTATAATGGGTCTTTGTAAAAAAAGGAATTTGAGCAACAGATTTAATTGGCTCCGGTATGGCAAATAAAATAATATGCCATCATAAAATGTGCTTTTTTGATGGATGTTGTTTCTATGTACAGTCATTGATTTACATGCACCAATAAAAATAATAATATAATATTGTTTAACCGCTTGTCCCCTTTCACATATGTATCCTAAATTATGCATTCACTTGTGAAAAGGCAGGAACTTGAAGTGAAATTTAAAAAACCTATTTTTGTTGTTTTTTTTTCTCAAAATTTTGGGTGTAGGATCAAACTTATTACATAAAAATAGTGTTGATCCTCAACAAAATAACTACTAAAAAATTACTGTCCTGTTTTTGTACAAGGAAATAGCTCTAGAGTCTTCAATTTCCATGGATTTAACAATCAAATACTTAACAGCCAGTAACATTTTGTAATAAAATACATCGTTGCACTCAAAAAATGGAGTGAATTATGCAAAATAAAAAAAATAAAAAATGACTTGTCTTGTTTTACACGCGTCTTAGTCAATATAGAAGAAAAAAAATGAACTTTGAACTGTTGGTTATTAGGTTATTTATTAAATTGTGTTTGCTGAAAGCACGCTTTTTTTATCAAAGTTTAATATTTCTCGTACAAGTAGCGTTGCTGCGTTAAATTTTCAAGCGCACAATATTTCGTTTAATATGGACATACGCTATACGTTCTTTATTGTTTTTATGGTAAACTGTAGGTGCCTGAGTTTCTTCAACTTGGTCGAAAAAGACAGTACTCAAAAAAAAAAACTTTCATAAAAGCTCTAAATAGTTGAATCAAACATTAGTAATTCAGAAGAATCATTTGTTACACACGTAAAAGTTTTCTTTTCAAATATTCTACTGATAAAAAACTGGATTCTTGTTGAAAAGTGATAGTTTCAATATTTTGAATTTTACGCGCGACTTTTAAGTGCTAAATGACATAAATCCGTTAAGCGGCGTTACCACCACGACCTACGTAACTTTACAGCCTCTGATTTTATCATTCTGGTAAAGAGAGCACGGTGTAAGATGAACGTGAAGTTATGTGTAGTAATTAAAGTAATTACTACTAAGTAATGCCATATGGTCAATTTTATTAAACCATTTGAATATCTATATTTTTGGAGGTCGACTTTTGGGTGAAAAATAAATTGTAAACTTGCCGCAAACAGCACAGACTACGTCAAGTTTTCATTATCTATCTAATAAATGAATTGCGGCTGGTTTATAATTGATCAAATGGCTCTAATATCAGAAGTAATAATTATTTGGATCAGCGCCATCTAGCGTTGCGAATTTCTGAACTAAAAAGTGGCCGTAAACTTTTGAACAAGAGCTTTAGCGCGTAGAGCCATTTAGTCAGTTATAAACCAGCCGCAACTCATCTTGTTGTAAAGCTATAAAATGAAAAAATAACGATACATGTGTTTTTGGCGGCAAGTTAACAATCTATTTTATACCAAAAAATCGACCTCCTATGTGTTTATACTTTTAAAGATAAATTTACAAGCATAAGATAGATTGTTAACTTGCCGCCAAAAACACACGTATCGTTATTTTTTCATTTTATAGCTACAAGATGAGTTGCGGCTGGTTTATAACTGACTAAATGGCTCTAATCATGAATGCTCTGATTTAGAATTTTAGGAGCCACTTTTGGCCAAAAAATAAAGACCGCTAGATGGCGCTGATCCAAAATAATTATTGCTAGTTACAGTTAAGTCATTTTAATAGTTATAAACCAGCCGCAACGAATCTTATAGATAGATAATAAAAAGTTAACATTTATTGTGCTACTTGCGGCAAGTTTACAATTTAATTTTTACCTTAAAATCGACCTCCAAAATCATCAATATTCTACTTATCTTTTATATGACTCATAACATCGACAATATTTACAAAATTACAATACTCTTGTCCTTTTATCATTAACTAATGTAAGCACAAATTAATTAGTCCAAAAGAGACAATCGAAGAAAAAAGACCTGAAAAAGAAGCACAGTCACACGAAAAGTCTCATAAGAATGGAGCATTGGATCTCACTTGATCAGAGGTAATCAAGAGGTAATTACCAGAATGATAAAATCAGAGGCTGTAAAGTTACGTAGGTCGTGGTGGTAATGGTAACGCCGCTTGAAGGGTGTTTTCCGCAATCGTCACCAGCAAGTAATAGTGGGTCGCGCTCTACGTTACCATCAGGTCGGTAAGTCAACTACCTTGAATTAAAGTGGCGCTTGTGGTCGCAACTACGTTGACTGACAGAGAACACAGTATAGGTCTGTTCAGTCTGTTCACTCAATTTGAGTTTAGCGTAACAGTGGAACCCCCATTTCAATATGAACGTTCACAATGAAAATTATTTAATAAGCAAAAAATGTCTACTTATGTGAATAGCTCTTAAGTTCGGGCAAGCGCAGGCGAGCGCGGGATGACGGCGTGCGCCCAATCTCGGTCCCCGAACATACCTACTGACTCAGAGTGGGAGAGCAGCAGAAATTTTTGGCTAGGGGGAAATACACGTGTTAACGAAAAAGTTTGTATTTGGTTATAAACTCTGATTATAAATATATTAAATATAACAAACCAATGTGTATAACGTGTCGTGTTAGTACAGACATCAAAAAGCTTATTCAATTCGTTACATAAATGTGATTTTACGTTACTTGTGTCAGTTTACACTCTGGTTGTTAACATGAAGCGGCCGGTCGAAGCCGTTATCGAGGACGTTATCATTGCACCCGACAAAATACAGCCTATAATAGGTGCCGCATATACCTCACCTTTGTTTATTTACAATCATTTTTTGAACATTGAATGATGAAAACCTCTTGTCACAGTGAATTTCCAGAATGGCGAGCTCAAGGACGAAGAAGCCAAAAAGATGAAGTGCGGCGTGTACCGCGACGAAAAGGATAAGTACGTGCTAGCCATGTCCAACAACAACATAGTCTACAAGGGCACGAGGCCGGATTTGAACAAGGAGCTGACGTACACGATGCTGGCCGTGCACAACAAAAAAACTGGCAAGATCAAATTGATCCAAGCCGAGAGGTGGAACGTCTGTCCTGTGCTCGACCAACACGTCGATATGAACGTCAAGGACGAGGACATACTCTACGAGCTGAACACCCAGTTTGCAATAAAAAAGGTGCAACGCAAAACCGAACAGTACCAAAAGATGAAAATCGACGTCAATGCCATCAAGGATAATTACGAACAAAAAGCAGCCAGTCAGTTTATTTGCTTTACAGAGAGTGATGGTATTTACTCGGATTTTTGTAACACAAATTGTTTCAGATATTGACATCGACACGTCAAGGCTCGAAGCTTCTGCAAAGGATGATCAAACGTTGCAACTACCACGTTGCAACAGAGACGCGGATCATGTGTCCAAGGTCTACGATATCAATGATATCGTGCCAAACAAACTTTTGATGGGACTCTACGACCAAGCTGAAAAAGTCGCGAAATCAGACTTGTCCAAGTATGTGTCTAAATTGAAAATGTTTAACTTTTAGATATCGATTCTTTATAATTGTAACGTCACTTTCAGAAAACCCGCGTTTTTCGTCAAAACTGTAGAAACTTTCAAAGAGAACGAAGATGTAGTTGAAAAAATAGCACTGTTACTGTACATAGAGTGTTTAACTAACTGGTTTAATACTCCAATGAAATCTGCCAAAAAAGATTCAAGCGTGTGTCCATACTCAGCAGATGTAGCGAATCACATAGTGGAGAGTTACAGTGTGCTCAGTGCTAACGGAAGGTTTGTTATTAACATTCAATACAAAATTTATTTCTGAATTGATAAACACAACGTTTGAAATTGTCAAAAGTTCAATATTATTGTGAACGTATTAGGATCTTGATCTAATAGTTGTAAAATATATTTTCAGGTGTAGACCAAATTCAATGAGGGACAAAGGAATCATGCACTCCATAATAATAGGCCTCACGATATGGAACTACATTTTAGATTTGGAACTATTTTCCAGTTTATTCAAGTTTCGATTGGGCCTAAAGAAGCTTCAAGAGCTTGCAAGACTCTTGTGTGCAGTGCCACTCAAAGACGACAAGCAGCGCGTTACGCTTAAATTACCTCTGCCCGCAGAAGCGCCTAGAGTTCAGGCAAAAAAAAAATTAAAACGTTGAGCTAAGTGTGCATAGTTTTAAAGTAAGTTTGTAAATTGTGGAATATTTTCAATAAAATTTTTAATCTATTTTTTAATAACTCAACGTTTTAACTACACCAGTCAGTCCAGTCGCATCGTACCCTTAGCCAGGTACTGTCGCGTTTTTCTAGCTCCTTCCAACAAAAGTAGAAACAAGGTAGCATTAAAGTCGGTGAAAAAAATTTTTGTTTCTTTGGATTGAATAAAAATCATACATCCCTACCTCTCCCCAACTTTTAAGCTTCAAAGCTTTTAAAAGTTAAAGTGGCTTTGTTAAAATTCGAAGAGCCGGTTTGAGCGTAGGTTAGGAGTTAGGATTATTATGACGACAGCCATGTTTGGTGGGCGGCTACTTATCAGCAGTGGGGAGAGTATCGGTCGATTGTTGCGCTGCTCACAAGTGCTCGGGACCGTCGTGCGGACGCAGGCTACCGTAACTACGAAGAAACAGAAAATGGTTTGTTCCTTGATTTTTATTTCTTAATTTTTAATTTATTTGGTTTTTGCACGAGACTCGATATGTGCACCTTAATATTTCAAGTGCCATTAAGCTTCTTTTTGTTATTTTTTTTTTTTTAAGCCAATGTGCTCATAGTTTCTGCATACATTCGGCCCTCTCAACAAGTGGTCGAGTTTACTTGCTGTATATACTTATGCTCTCTTGCAATCGATACTTACTTCGCAAGATTAACTCTTAGAGTAAGAAGTGAAAGGCGTTTCATTTGTGATTAAAAATATGTTCAATCCAAGTATTATGCGTTCAAGTTAATTGAGATTCATGTCCTTGAAAATATTGACGTTTCGAATTGTTCTATCCAATTTTTCTACTTAACACTGCACTTAAGTAAAATGAGATGAAGTTTTTTAATTAATCTTATTTGTGACGGAGTGCGAATTAATTGTAGCCTCGTTCATCGTGATTAAAATGTGTTGCAAACTTTATGTCGATTAATTATGAGAATACCCAGTTAAAATTTTTTTATTTTATTCCCATCGTTTTGGGAGTATCATTTAAATGTACAAAGTAAATTAATTAAAAGTAAATTTTGATCAAGAAAAAGGTACTGAACAACATCAAATAATCGTTGAATTTGATAAGTTTTAATTTAATCTTCAAATAAGACAAACTCGTTAGTTTCTTACGCAATTCTCAAAAGATTACATGCATGTTATTAAGTATACACATTTTTATGGGCGCACTTGTTGAATTATTGATATTAAAATTTTCGTCGCGAATTCAAATATAATGTATAATTTATAAGACAATTACTAAATAAATAACCATTACCAATTCATCGGTACATATAAATGGATTTTTTAAACGTGTCCTACGGAGTATTGACAAATTAATTAGTTATNAGTGCCTTAACACATGATTTTTTCATGAAATGTTTTCGCATTAGATGGCAGCCTGGCTGAACAAGGCCAACGGACAAACTTACTTTGAGATGATCTCAAAGATCTTTACTGACAAAAGTGCAGCTCTTCCCAAGGAGAAACTTTCAAATCGTGTCTTGCAAGCCAAGCCCTTCAAGACAATCTGTGGGTGCTTCGTGATCCAAAAAAATCAAATGAATAGCAGATGGACCATGAAACTTGCCTCTGTCATGGATATTTTATGTATTTCTAGTTTAAAATATTCTCACTAATAAAGTTGAAAATACCGTATGTAATGTTGTTTTGCATTTGATTTCCTGTAACCCAAATGAGACAGTTTATTTAATTTTTCGAATATATTAACTCATCAATATAGTCACGCTTTTATTAGGAAAAAAGTTGAAATTTAACAAAAATGTTTTGAAGTAATCGTAACTATGTAAAACGTACAAAAAATTAATAAGTCACTAGATGGTTTTTGTTATTTCAGGCACACGAAAAAAAAAAAGAAAGTAGAGCGTTTTAGCAGAAACAAATGTCACTTTATCTAATTTAAAATCGATTTAAAAAGGTTAACTCAAAAAAGTTAAAACAAAAAATGATCAATTTTGAAACTTGAAAAATTTTCTGTAATAGTCACATAAATTTGTTGGACGGATTTGATTTGTGGCTTTCCAATTATCACTCAACGATTTAACAAGTACATAAATATTATGAAGTCTTTTAAGAGAAGAAATCCTTGCTTGTGAATTCGAAGGAAGCGAAGCAAAGTACAATCATTTTTAAACAACACTACCCGTGCACAGATTAAAATATGTTTTTTCGAAACATTAATTTATTACACAGACTTCATTTTTCTCAAATATTATACTCAAAAAAAATTAATGACGATTTGAATTTTACGCGCGACAAGCGACAACGTTTTGTCCAACATAAAATGAAAAAATATAACTAGCAGACAAATCTAAAAGTCCCTAGGCAATCGGCTCCCCAAATCCCCCATTATTTTTTCTCTCCCCAATATGTATCCCCCTTGACGAGCGACAAAGACAACGCATGATGTAAAATTACAGTATTACCAGAAATTCTATTGCAGTAAAACAGGTAAAAAAGAAGCAACATGCAAGCCTCAGCCTGCAACTACTAAGTAAGTAGTGCGTTGGTCGTGGCATTTTACAGTGACATTGTGTGTGAAAAGCAATCAAGCTCCGTTCGCGTGTATAGTTTATAAGTATCTCATTATCTACTCGACCAAAATGAACAATCTCGTAAGTATCTCGAGCATAAATATATTACTTAACTTTTTAACTTCAATTGTTGTAAACATTCGCTGCGCTTGTTATATCAACCAACAATACAGTGATGCATTCGGAGGTTGTACCAAGCAATGGGTTAATTGTTACTCTTTTTACAACATTCTTCGGTAATAACTAAAGCCGCTTCACAAGATTTTCTCAACGCAATTGTGTAATCATGGGAATACAGTCACTATCTACTACTTGGGCTCAATCATTTTCCATTATTGTGACGCTTATAACCTCAAATTGACTTGGCACGCTGGTTTTTATTCGTTACATTTATATAAGTACTTAGTATAATGTATAAATATGTAAGCCCAAAGCAGTCACGAAGATGTATGCAACCTCAACAAAGTCATCATAGCACCAGTTAATAATTAAGTTTTTTAATGCATAACAATAAATTGCTAGCGTTGATTTTTTGTTACAATCATGTGTGCTATAAACTTGATTGCACTGAAAAACTTGAAATAATGATATCTTGCAGCAATTTTTTACAATAAAAAGTTTTATTCAATGCTATTTATTGAAATATACCATTACTACATGAACAAAAACATTTTTTTTTTCAGAAAATGGTGTCGGTGTCACCTGGTTTACCGGTGAGAATCTTGCGATTTATAATATTTGCTTAAACTTATTTGTCTCGTCTAATTTCAGTTATTCATTTGACATCATTTTTATCATAATTTTTCATCCCATTCAACTTGCTTAACCATTTTCAACAGGCAAAGTTTTTCTTCTCATTGATTGTTTTGTTCATTTTACATAAAAAAATCAGTAAGATTTAGGTGTTGGTCTGGTGTAGATCTTGGATTAGTTTATGTAAAGTCCATATTATATTTCACTTGGAACTAATGAAATATTAAAACTAAATTTCAAATAAACTTTGTTGCTATCAAATTCCAGGAGGTGAATTACAATTTACTTAAATTCGACTATAAATTATGATCTCCAATCTCCGATTTAATAAAAAAAATTTCTAGTTTAAGTTTGGTTTTTACAACTGTAACTAAAAATACTGGAACATAATGAAGTTTAATTAATTTTCATTTTTAAAAATAGCTCAACAGTCTGAAATGTTGTTTTTATTAAAATATAAATGACAATGAACAGTTGAGCAAGAGTAAATCTTGAACAGACACCATGCTCTTACACTTACATTAGTATGGTCGAATTCAAAAGAAACAATCGCGATTTTGGATCTGAACTAAATGATTTATTACTACAACTGCTCGTAATTCACGGAAAAGATGAATATACTAATTTTAATGATGTTTCTTATGACCAAAGAAAAAAACAAAAATCTTTGTGGGCCGGCTACCAGAAAACTGCCGAAATGACGAGCTGCGCAGCCTATTCGTGCGCTTNAAGAGAAAAAAAAAAAAAAAAAAAGGTTTAAAAGGACGACAAAGTTGGCATGCGTAAGTAACCTGTAAACAAAAGGGCACACACAAATTGCGCATGGAAATCATACAAATAAATTGTTTGATAGCTACCTGTAATTATCGACGTCTTAATAGATCCCACCCACGATAAATTAACGATGAAAAATTAACACTGTTGGTATTCCCTCATATGAATAAACATTTTGGATATGTAGTGAATGGTTTTAAAAGCAGATTATTTCTGGTCTCCGTCGTGAGGGGTGAAGTTAAACAATGCCACCCGGGCCGCGTACTCCAATCCAACGCTAAGGTCGCTGTCTGCGGCACTCTGGGTCCGTAAGGACGTAAGGATTACTGAACACTCTGTCCAAAGGTATAGCGGTTAAGTAAGTAAATGAGCAAGGTTTTTCCATCAACAACTAAGTTGAAATATTTTTGAAACTCAAAAGGGTAAGGGTTTTGGTACGACCAAAAATAAAGTTACAGTTACTTCTAGGTAGGTCTAGAGGGCACTGGGCACTCCAGGGATGGGCGCGAAATTATTAATTGTATTAGGTATTTGTATTAGAAATTCTTAGATTAGATCAATAGACGCGCGACATTTACCATTAGTTTTAAATGGGATTTGGGAGTTGGGACTGCATGAAACTACACCGTGAGTAAAGTAACTGTTGAACCTAGTGCTAAGACTCGAGGATGGTTGCAAATTTAAACCAGCCGAAATTCATAGGAAAAATAAGAGACTTTGTGATTCAAGGAGATTTGAAATATCTATGTCATATTTCATTCTGGTAAAGAGTTATGTGGTAATTATAGTAGTGCCATTCTGCCATTTAGTTGATTTTATAAACCAACCGCAACCTAAAAAAAACAGATAGACAGTATAAAATTGGTTGAAAAAATGCCATGGGTCAATTTTATTGAAGGTTTATTTTTGAGCAGAAGATAAATTTTAATCTTGCCAAAAATATGGCACCTACGAAAAAAACCTTTTTATTTTTTATCTATTGGGTCTCAGTTCTTAGTCTTTATATTATATAATAGGGTCTCAAAAATTCGAAATTCGCAGAAGGGCAAAAGGCACAATAATATTATAATTATACAAACTGCATGAAAAAAAATACCGCGCGACGCGCGCATGCACCAACCACCAACAACGAACAACACCAACACATTACCCAACGGCCAACACACCCCAGGTTTTGTGCATTAGCAGAGGTATTGGTCGGCTTTTGAGTTAAGCTTTGTTAGTGTCAAACTAAACTTTCTTGATATTGTGGTTTGTTTCGTCCATTTCTCCAAAATGAGTAACCTCGTAAGTATCTTAACAATTGATCTATTAATTTACTCCTTTCAATTGTAAACGTTCGCTGCGCTTGTTATATCAACTAAAAAAATAAAGTGATGCATTCAGCGGTTGTATCAAGCAATGGGTATAACCATCGCATACCTCTGCCAACTTAATTATTTTTTTTACCATGTAGTTTGTTAGTACCTAGAGCTCCTTCACGAGATTTTCTTTACGCATATTGTATAATCATAAGAATACAAGAAAATTCTATCCAACCCGGGTTTTGAAATTCAATTTAATCAATCATCTTCGTTATTGTTAGTACTCATAACCTACAATTGACCGAGGCACGCTAGTTTCATTAATGTGTTGTGTATGTATGTGTACACATTCACAAATCATTCTGCATCTTTGCAAATGAAATCGATAATAGGGTGAATACACCTATACGTTAAATATGTACATATCATTTTCAGCTATTTTTTAAATACCAAATAAGAGTTAACAAAAGTTGTTTTGATGATAATGTTACTGTATTTCAAACAGACTGAGAAGCTAATGTATCTTGCGTCAAGTACAAGAGGTCAAGCGCTCGTATTCCCCCTTTCCACCGCCATCAAACATGCTCCGTCCATCTTGAAAATTCAACGTTGTACCTACGAATTGCATTATACATTTAGGTATCTACATTTTCTAAGTAATTTTTTCCTTGGTAAGATTCAGTTTTTTTTTCCTATCGCAACTTTATCACTATCAAGATTCTAAGAATGTCACGGATGCTCTTTTGTTGATTCTGCTGAAGTAGGTACTTGAATTTTGCCTCGCAATTTCGCTTTCCTTTTTTTGGGTTGTAAGTTAAAATGATTTTAAGAGTATTGAAAAAAGTACATGCGGTAAAATGAGCTTATTAATCTTTTTACAAAATATTCGCTATAAATTCCTTAATACTCCAAAAAGTCACTGAGATTCCCTGTACATCAAGTTTTTTAGAAAGTGTAGCAAATGTTTTGCAACTAAACAATTACATTAAATTTAGCTCTATATAATAATAATGTACAATTACTAATGATAAAATAAACTTTTTTTTTTTTCAGAAAATGGTGTCACCCAGCTCGCCGGTAAGAATCTTAAACAACTTTTTTTTTCAAGCAAAATTCCTTTAACTATTTAATTTTAATAAATCATAAAAAACCGATCAATCCATTAAGATTGCTTAAAACTTTTGTCAAACGATGAGGCTTATCTTTTCATTAAGAATTTTGTTTTTGAAAGGTCAGTTGATTCATGCAAATAGTTTATTTTGTACAAAACAACATAAAAAATATTCACACAATTCATTGTATTTTGTCTAATGCAGTACAATTCCTCTTTGATGCACAAATCATAATTTTTATAGTCAAATGCCGGATTAAATGCCATTAGCATTTTATCACTTCAGTTTTCCAATATTATGTAAATAAATAGCTCAACATTCTGAAATGTTGTTTTTATTAAAATATAAATGACAATGAACAGTTGAGCAAGAGTAAATCTTGAACAGACACCATGCTCTTACACTTACATTAGTATGGTCGAATTCAAAAGAAACAGTCCAGTTCCTGCTCAATATTGTAAAACGCTGTTCTTTCTAAACTACTTTCTAGCGACCACTTGTCATTTTCCAAAGAACTGTATTAGCTAATTTTAATTGTATTTGTTGGGTTGGTTTTTGCTTCTGTTCCACTGAGAAGAAGACGAAAATCTTCGTCGGCCGGTTACCAGCAAATTGCCGCAATGATGAACTACGCAGCCTATTCGTACGCTTTGGCGAGGTCACGGAATGCGAAGTAAAGGATCGCTATGCTTTTGTACACATGGCTCATGAGGAGGACGCTGCCGAGGCAATCAAGTCTCTACACAACTCCATCTTCAAGGGCTCGACGATCAACGTCGAACAGTCTACGGGCAAGTCACGGGGCCGGCGAGACGACGGGCGTGGCGGTCCGATGCGTGGAGGCAGAGGCGGAGGACGAGATGGAGGCCGCGATACTCGTCCCGGTCCGTATAACGACAGGAGAGGTTTGTTGAATAACCACCGCGTCGTTCGTACAAAGAAAAAAACTCTCTTCGAGTTCGTTGATTTTAACGAATTTTTCAAAAGCACGATGACAACGAAAACGATATCTCCATTCTAATCTAAAGCGTTGTTTTGTCTATTGTGCATCGCGTCGCGATTATGATTATTATCATGTGTTTAAGCGTTTGTAATTTTATGCAGCTAACATCATGCAACCGAATCAGTCGCTTTCTATTTATCAAAATCAAATTTACTAGAATGCAAACATGTTTAGATACAAGATCACAGAAAGACAAAAGTGAGTAGTTAAATGAAGTACAGTAGTAATAAATAAATCTATTTACATGCTTCAGCATCTTTACACGAAATAGTCAAATTTTGCATGATTTTTTAACAGCTTTACCTGTAAACTATACTTTGTTTCATTGCATTCATCCACAGCATTATTACTAACTCCATTACTTACTAATATCTAATACGCTAGTAATTTCAATTAGTTGATGTACTTTTACTGAAAATGGTTCGTAATTATTAGTTGTAACAAACATTTCACAAAATGATACTACTAATTTGACAATGTCTGATAATCAATGGTAAAAGTTTCTCTAAAAAAATTAACAATCAGACACTTGCAATGCTTATTCAGATAAAATAGAATTAACTACGTATAACTAAGGTAATGATTCGCCCTTGCATCACCATCGTTTGACGTTTTTTTTTATAAACCGAGCTTTATTATAATTAAAAAGACATATAATTAAGTATGAAATATATACCACTTAAAATATTACATTTTCATTAATCACTGCAATTCACTAACAAGACGTAACACATCCGAGCTTGCACAAAATCTATTGACATTATTTTTTTACAAACGTTTAAGCCCGAGTAATAATCTACCTTATTTGTGTTAACTTGGCAATGGTTTAGAAACGTGATAACATTTCAGTTAATTCAAACAATTGAAAAAAAACCGAATGTACGTTTGAATTTGAGCTAAAAAAAGATGTACAAAAGCGAGCGATGAATTAGGACCTAAAATGCAAGCTGAAAGCGCTGGGAAACGATCAAATTGCAACGAAGGCCTCGTTTTGTCTGCTTCTCGATTCCATCCGCTCCTGATGCTATTCTTCCACTAACAACAACAACAACAGTCCTGCCAATCCATAATTCAGGCTACGAAGGCTCAGTCGGTGGTGGCGGTGGCGGCTACCAGGACTACAACCGCGGGGGTGGAGATTTTGGTGGCCGGGGTGACTTTGGCGGTGGATACAACGACCGAGGCGGCTACGGACAAAACGTCGGTGGGGCTGCGATGGGTTACACGTCAACGGCACCCATGGGAGGCTACGGACCTGCTGGTGGTACCGTAGGTGGATACGGGCCGACCGCTGCCGTGGACTACGGTAGAACCGACTACGGCAGGACGGCTGACTTTGGCGCCAGGACAGACTATGGAACCCGTGGAGAGTTTCCGAGTACGTCTCTTTGTTTTTCTATTTTGGAGCTCGTGCTGTACATGCGTTGTGTATTTTAATTTTCGACTCAGTCAACGTTTTCTTTTATCCGTAGATGAAAAGTATTAATCTTGTAATATCTGTTGTTCCATGAATGTAGCTTATTCTCGACAAACAGTGTGCGACTACTCAGTGGCAGGTGGTGGTATGACGAGTGATTTCAGCAGGGCAGCGCCAGGACCAGTTGACTATGGACGAACCGACAGCTTTACGACGGGCCGTGTCGACGCGTATGCCCCGCGCACCGACTATGACCGCACGGCAGCTGGACCCATGAGAAACGGCAGTGGTGTGGCCGCCGGCGGTTACAGCGCAGGATATGGAGATGTTGGGTAAATGTTTTGCTTGGATTTTCTCAAAAACTCGTTCGAATTGTGGAAATCTTCCTCATTCTTATTGAATATTCGTTCAACAGACCAATCGGTGGAGCACCTAGCTACAACACTGGTGGACCTAGTTACAACGCTGTTCCTGCACCACCAACAGACATGTTTAGCCGAAGAGTTGGAGGGACTGTAGCTAGTGGTGGATACCAAGTAGGAGGGTAAGTGATTCATGATATTTTACTGCTGTACAATCTATGTAATTTACCTTTTTAAGTAATTTAGGTTTTTTTAAAGTATGAAATTATGTCGACATGGCGATCCGTCTAGTTCAACAAGAAAAGTCTGATACCAAACATTTTTTTTGCATCATTGACTTATAACTTATCACGTGTCAGTAGACAGGAAATGAAAATTTATACACTTGGATGATTAAAGTTTTATAAACAAATATTTCTTACTTTTTGGCAACTGTGACTCTAAAATATTAGAGTATGCACGGACGATAATGAAAAAAATATTTGGATTGTATGTTTATTGCTGTCAAATTACCGTCAATAGTATCTCAAAGTGAAATTGATCAATTTTGTTGTAGATACACGAAAGCATATGAAAGAGCAGACCCGTACGGCCCTTCTCACGGAGGTGGTCGGTAAGTTAGATTATATTTTTCATAAACTTTTTCTNGGCGGTCCGATGCGTGGAGGCAGAGGCGGAGGACGAGATGGAGGCCGCGATACTCGTCCCGGTCCGTATAACGACAGGAGAGGTTTGTTGAATAACCACCGCGTCGTTCGTACGAGGAAAGAAACTCTCTTTGAGTTCGTTGATTTTCTTATCATTAAAAACAGCACGACAACATCGAGAACAATATCTTTATTCTCTTCTACAGTTTTGTACTGCGAGATGATTTTTATGCATGATCTTCTCGAGAGTGTTGTTTTGTCGATTCTGCATCGAGTCGCGTTTTTACTTATGACAATGATGTGTTTAAGCGTTTGTAATATCATATAACTAACGTCATTCAACGGAATCGCTTATTTTTAAAAAATACATCAATTTTTAACTTGAAGGAATTCTTTAGTTATGCAATGTAATATAATATAAATGCACTAACGTGTTGAGGCATCACACACCCTACAGTAAAATTTTGCATGTTTTTGACAAGTTTGTACGAAAACCACACTCTGGTCATTCAATGCATCAGAGAATTATTTAGTTATCTGTATACCGCTTACTAATATTTGAAACGTGAATTTTCACCTATAAGTAGTTGCAATTTGTTAATTTACTTTTATTCCTAGAACGGCACATTTTTATCACCATTACAAAAAAATTTGACATTCGACAAGTTGTATTCTAAGATGATTATTGTCTCCATGTAATAGTTTATCACACAATATGTTATAATAGTCTGATAGACTTCATACATAACAACTTACTAGTAGATACTCGCAACACTTTTTCAGAAATACATAGACTGCATGCAAAGTTTAGGTAATGATTCATCCTTGCATCAAAATTATTGGCCTTTTTTTTATTGAGCAATCATTTTCATATTTTTTTTATAACACATCGTACTTTTAACATTAATCAACCCTCAGTTTAGTTGAATTCAATCACATAGCTGTCACTAACAATTTACTAACAGTGCTTGTTACATCAGAGCCTGCACAAAACATGTTGACTTTTTTTTCTTACAAACGTTTAAGCCCGAGTAATAATCTACCTTATTTGTGTTAACTTGGCAATGGTTTAGAAACGTGATAACATTTCAGTTAATTCAAACAATTGAAAAAAAACCGAATGTACGTTTGAATTTGAGCTAAAAAAAAGATGTACAAAAGCGAGCGATGAATTAGGACCTAAAATGCAAGCTGAAAGCGCTGGGAAACGATCAAATTGCAACGAAGGCCTCGTTTTGTCTGCTTCTCGATTCCATCCGCTCCTGATGCTATTCTTCCACTAACAACAACAACAACAGTCCTGCCAATCCATAATTCAGGCTACGAAGGCTCAGTCGGTGGTGGCGGTGGCGGCTACCAGGACTACAACCGCGGGGGTGGAGATTTTGGTGGCCGGGGTGACTTTGGCGGTGGATACAACGACCGAGGCGGCTACGGACAAAACGTCGGTGGGGCTGCGATGGGTTACACGTCAACGGCACCCATGGGAGGCTACGGACCTGCTGGTGGTACCGTAGGTGGATACGGGCCGACCGCTGCCGTGGACTACGGTAGAACCGACTACGGCAGGACGGCTGACTTTGGCGCCAGGACAGACTATGGAACCCGTGGAGAGTTTCCGAGTACGTCTCTTTGTTTTTCTATTTTGGAGCTCGTGCTGTACATGCGTTGTGTATTTTAATTTTCGACTCAGTCAACGTTTTCTTTTATCCGTAGATGAAAAGTATTAATCTTGTAATATCTGTTGTTCCATGAATGTAGCTTATTCTCGACAAACAGTGTGCGACTACTCAGTGGCAGGTGGTGGTATGACGAGTGATTTCAGCAGGGCAGCGCCAGGACCAGTTGACTATGGACGAACCGACAGCTTTACGACGGGCCGTGTCGACGCGTATGCCCCGCGCACCGACTATGACCGCACGGCAGCTGGACCCATGAGAAACGGCAGTGGTGTGGCCGCCGGCGGTTACAGCGCAGGATATGGAGATGTTGGGTAAATGTTTTGCTTGGATTTTCTCAAAAACTCGTTCGAATTGTGGAAATCTTCCTCATTCTTATTGAATATTCGTTCAACAGACCAATCGGTGGAGCACCTAGCTACAACACTGGTGGACCTAGTTACAACGCTGTTCCTGCACCACCAACAGACATGTTTAGCCGAAGAGTTGGAGGGACTGTAGCTAGTGGTGGATACCAAGTAGGAGGGTAAGTGATTCATGATATTTTACTGCTGTACAATCTATGTAATTTACCTTTTTAAGTAATTTAGGTTTTTTTAAAGTATGAAATTATGTCGACATGGCGATCCGTCTAGTTCAACAAGAAAAGTCTGATACCAAACATTTTTTTTGCATCATTGACTTATAACTTATCACGTGTCAGTAGACAGGAAATGAAAATTTATACACTTGGATGATTAAAGTTTTATAAACAAATATTTCTTACTTTTTGGCAACTGTGACTCTAAAATATTAGAGTATGCACGGACGATAATGAAAAAAATATTTGGATTGTATGTTTATTGCTGTCAAATTACCGTCAATAGTATCTCAAAGTGAAATTGATCAATTTTGTTGTAGATACACGAAAGCATATGAAAGAGCAGACCCGTACGGCCCTTCTCACGGAGGTGGTCGGTAAGTTAGATTATATTTTTCATAAACTTTTTCTTTTTATTCTGTTTTTCGGTTCACCAGAATGCTTTGAATTCCTCAATCGATTGAAACAAAAGTGAAAAAACAGAATGCGAAAAGGAACACTGAGCAGAGTAAACAACCTTGCGCTCTCGTTCTTTTGCGTTTCGATACGTTTTCTCATGCTTATCTGAAAACTTATTATTTCACGCGAGTGTTTAGTAAAAGTAAAAAAAAAAGAGAAAAAAGATCCAGTACGATGCGCAGAGCGACACTAAATGTCATCATTGAGTAAACGTGTTGGATGTAACGATGTCCAAGCTATACACGGGAATAGGAAGCAGCTGTTATTTTTTTCCAAAAATTTTAGCATGCTTGTGATGTGACGCAATTAAAAGCTTTCAACAGCTGGTTACTATTATCCCGTTGGAAAATCTTTTATGAATCTCTGTGCGAGCGCGCGTTATCAAGAAATTTAAGAGAATATACGCATACAAGTAAATCTTTTGTGTACACTGCGAATGCGATATTTTCTAAGCGATTTACAATGCGATCGAGAATATGTGTAGGCTTGCTTTTTTTCTCTCTTTCTGGAACGGAGTACAAAACCTTCATTTATTTTTCAATTCTATCAGATGTTGGCCTCTGTATGAGTCTTATTGACTGTTACAACCATTAATCCTGCGATTTCTTTTTTTTTTTAACTTTTAGCTTCCCAGGCCCGGCAGACTCGATGCCACCAAGGTACTAAGTAACCGAACAAGTACCTACTAAAGCGCTTAGAAACGCACGCACGGAAAAAATGACAAATTACATAATAGCATGAGAAACTAATAGCCAAGATTATACAAGTGCGCGACGAATACACACGTTAGTAATATGTGAAAGTATTTGTATGTAAAATGAAAGGCATACAAAATAACGCTAAATGATCGTGTGTAAAGTAACTTAAGGTTAAATGTGGTTTCAAGGGACTAAAGTTATCATTTGTTTGTAAGTTTTTTGTGAAAATAATTCAATACACTGTACTAAAGCTTATATTTGAATGGATATATAAATTAAAAACTGAAAATTATTCATAAGAATTTTAACATTTTTATACTGTTGATTTTTGTCAAATAAAAAAATTTTACTTCACACACATTTTGATTATGAATACACATAATGAAGAAAGAACACAAACAAAAAGCACATGCAAGCATTTGCTTTGATGAACATGTAATAATCTAAAAAAAGATGTAAACTATAGTAAAAATTACCACTTCTTCGTTAGGGAATTAAACTCACTTCGATGTAGTCTAAGAAAATTTAATTTTTTTTCTATCTTAGTGTATATATTAANTTTTGATTACTTTTAACGAACGATAAGTAATTCCAAGAGCGGCAAAATAATAATGAAGCGATTTAATATTTAATATTGTAAATCTACTAATTTAAAACTTGAAAGAAACTAAAAAAAATTAATTACAGCCCAAACTGAGCACCGACGATCGAGAGAAGGAGCTCAGCCCTCTATTATCAAATGGCTGGAGCGTCCAGGACAACAGAGACGCCCTGTACAAGGAGTTTGCCTTCAAAAACTTTAACCAGGTAATAAAACCTAGACTATAATTTTTTTAACCACATAGGTAAATGGCACCTGTGTCCAACAATGCTCATCCAAACGAATTTTTTTTCCCAGGCCTTTGGATTCATGACCCGCGTCGCTATGCAAGCCGAGAAGATGGACCACCATCCCGAATGGTTCAACGTATACAACAAAGTCAACGTAACTCTCTCGTCCCACGATGTCAATGGTCTGTCGCAGCGCGACGTCAAGCTCGCAAATTTTATAGACAAGGCCGCCAAATCCTTCACCGAATAAAACCCGACTTAACACCGTCCATTCGTTTATGATTGACAGCGTTGAAATTTCTTTTTTTTCATTCTTAGAGTGTTCTTACTTTTATATTTTGTTTTATTAATTCCTTTTTTTTTTTCATCGTTTCTATTATTATTAAAATATTTATGTATGACTATGACAATAAAAAAAGTATGTTTAGTGACATAAGTCTGTGTAAATAAAACAAACGAGTACCTATATATGCTTATAGGTACGTGACAAAAATAATGTTTGATTACGTTTATTTATCTACCCAAGAATTACTGCGGCGGTATAACATTACAGTTTGCCTGGAAAAATGCTCACTAAATAAAGCATTCCTGAAATACGATTAGAATTGGAACGAAATCATGAAGGTCTGAACCGTCTCTTTGTATACCAAGATTTTTACCGAGCTTCAATAATAACCAACCCATTTCTCTAAGGGCTGATCCTTCTATTTAACAAAAATTTAGATTTTATAACATTTTATTAATTCGTACAACTAATGGTCCGCGCTAGTGAAACTCAACCTTTTACTTTTTAATAACTAGTTACGTCAAACGCACTTCGCATACCTTCGTTATTTTTGTAATATTATATAAATATTAAATGGAATTGTAAAAATAAAAATAAAAAATGTGATTGCCAGCAAGCCACTCCACGCTTTACTTACCAGAACTTACCTGTGACACGGACGGTGGACTACTAGTCGTTTTTCAACTTAGAAAATCATTCAAGCCGATCCGTAATACGTCTTAGGCAAGCCAGCGCACACATTTCTGAACATCATTGTTAACTGGCTGTATATATACTAACCAAATACTTTTTCGCCACATGCGGGAGCGAACTGGAAAAGCAATGATTGGATAAAGAGGACTCGTTAGGAGAGTACGAAGCGGATGCATCTCGCGGAAACAAGTATTTCCTAACTTTTCATCAACTTTTCTTTTCGTTTTAGTCGTTTGGTGTTTAAAAAACCATAATATTAATGAATTTTGTCGAAAACGGTATACCGCATGCCTCCACGCGGTCGAAGATGCAGTTACTATCATGGCAGCGTTGTCCATCCGTTGTTGATAACTAAGTAATCTAGTCGTATATATTTGATAATTCAGGTAATCGGTAACCGCACTAATAGAACGCTGTAGTATATCTATATGTGGTAAGGAAAAACGTATATGTTAACTTTCCAAACATCGACGGCCAATCAAATCTCGTTTTGAAACAGTGACGCATCACTTTTTTCAGGAGGTTCGGGAGTATCTTTGCGGTGTGTAAGATGAGGCGCATAAAATTTCTTTTTTAACTAAGTAAAACATAGTTCTATTAAACGCGCTTCACCTTATTGTGATTACTTTTATGCTCACTTTGTCCAATAAGCATACCACATTGCAAAAGGAGCACATCATTTCGTTCATTTTTTTTGTCTTTCTAAACGTATACACATAAGTAGTCTGAATCTTACTGTATCTCAGAGTAGAAAAGATCAAGTATTTTTTTTATACTTGTATTACTTTGGATTATATTTGTATAATAAATTAATTGCATTTTAGTTTTTTCTGTAATTCAATGTAATTTATTTACAAAAAATCCCGTCACACAACATCACCGACCTGTTTTTTCAATTCTTTTTCAAAACAAAAACATAAACGACTTATTTTTCAGCTTGAGCGTTCGTTTTAAGTATCAATCGTAAAAATGAGCAATAATTTTAATTTTTGTCAAAAAAAAAATCTAGATATTTCTCGAGAATACCTCTAACAATATTCGACATAATGTTGCATTCTTAATTGACAAAAAAAATTTTTTAAATAGTGAAAAAATTAACGTAATTCAAATTTGTTACAGATTTATTGGTTGGGAGTCTTACTAAGCCGGGGGGAGGGGGATTATTTTAGAAATTAACTAATACTCTAATAAAATGTACATTCTACTGAACACATTCGAATTTTGTTTCTTTTAATGGCTGAAATTATTGTAAAGCGATGGAAAATTTGATTTAAATAAAAATTTTCATTCAGTGCCACTGCAGTTCATTGAAAAAAATATTTCGTTTACTCATATAATTATTTTTTCATAAACATTCTTGTCAGTTTATTGAAAAATATTAATTTCACGGTATAAGGTATTTTTTTATAAATTAACTTCAATTTTTTTTTTAATTGAAAAAAAAAAAAAAAAATTGTATTGCGTTGAAATGTTGTGCAAATTTGGTTTTTTAAATATAATTTGTGCAAGTTCTGAAGTCTATAATTTTTTTTAACAAAATTTCAAACGCTTACATCTTCGTAAGTATTAGAGATAGAGCCAAAAGAGCCATTCTGTTAGAAATCGTAATTTTATAAATATTTATTCTCTTTGGCTCGTGATACTTACAATGTTGATTATAGGTACATATACAATTAAATAAGAATCTATGAACCTTATAGGCCATAGTTTTATACATCAAGATACCCATGTATATAGGCGCTACGAGATTAACCCCCAAGTCGGAGATACGG